ACCCCAGCCGCCCAAACTCGCACCTTTTAACGGGTTTAGGGTTTTGCCCTCAGGCGCCGGGCAGGCTCCAAATTCCGGCTCACTTTTTTAATTCTTTGGGCCTGTCTCCTTGGCTTCGGAAAGCGAACGCCTGGCGAGGAGGAAGGAGCGGGCGTGGGAAAAGTGGGCGGGAGCGATTTTGCCCCGCCTTCGCGGGGGGGGGAAAAAATGGTAAAAGTAGGGGGCCTGGGGGGTGGTCTGTTGATGGTTGCCTGTTATGGTTTTTATGTTCATCTCAAATCTGTGTTCCCCCTTATTCGTTTTTAAAAGAGGGTTTTTAGGGAGCTTATTTATCGTTTTCGTTAAGGTAATCAATTGGGTAAATTGTCGCCTTGTTCATTGTTGGGCTGGGGGCCGACATTTTTTTCATTTGAAAGAGTTAACCCTTTTAGTAGTTATCAAGTTCTGGGGTGTTGGTGGTGCTTTTGTTTTGTTGGTGTTTTTCTCACTAATTTTCATTTATAGGTTAAAAGTTCAGTATAATTATAACATATAATATTTTACATGTTATTATTATATTATGATTGTAATTTCAGTTCAGGATAATAATTTAATTGATTTGTCTTACTTCTTTCATACATCATCTTAAAAATAATATTAACATCTCTCACTGTATTCTGAACATTAAACTTGTTACTTTCAATAAATAATTTGAAATTTTCTTTAACATCTTCTCCTTTCTCTTGACTATAACCCAACATCCATAATATATCATAAATCATGTCATATTTTTCTTACTGATTTTAAGAAACTGTTTAACATAATCGTAAGGTGGTATTTTATTTACAGTTAGAAATATTCAAATATCATCTTCTACATTTGTATTATGTCTTCCTTTTATTCTCAACAAACATTTGATTAAAAATTGATTATCTCTCCATTCCTGACAATTTTCACATTCGTCTTTTTCATCCATTGAATAATTAATAATATTATTCACTATTTCATTAGGTAAACTCAATTTATACAATTCCATATTTTCCTTTTTGAAGTGACAACAATCAAAGCATTTTTTATCGATATAACTATTGATTCCATCACCGTTCATTTTT